TCAGATGACTCACATGTGTACGTGATGGCATCACATCCTACTTCAGGAACACTGAAAAATTATTTTTCAAACCAATGAAAGCAGTTCCAAAATTACATGGGAGAAGAATCTAACTACCAACTTTAAGACTACTACAGATTTCTAAGAGTATAGGAACACTGAAAAAAGTCAACAATATGCTAGTTATAGATCTCTTTGAAAGGGTATGGTTACGACAAGTATAGTCGATCAATATTATCACAAAATTAAAGTAAATTGAGTTATCCAATAGTTAAACACAAAAAGGAGAGGCAATTTCTCAAACCTGGCTTTGAAAGTAGCATGACAATTCGAACACGCTTCACTAAAAGACATTAAGAACTCTNATTGTAGAAGCTGAAGCAGAATGGAATAACCAATACACATGGATTTTAAAAATACCAACCGACTATAAAAATATCAATTCTTTCTTCAACCGACTATACAAAAAGAGTATGGGAAATTGAAGTTCTCCAAAGTCAATAAATCATGCTAGAAGGCTAATTGGAATTTTTGGCAGCATATGCTACAGTGATCTGTTAGGAAAAATCACGAATGAACAGTGAACCTCAAACTACTCCGCACAGATGCGGAGTATCTACCCCGCATTTGTGCGGAGTCGCTCCGCACAACACGATAGTTTCTCCATCAACTTCTGAACTCTTAATTTTGCTTAGCCTAGTATTTATATTGTAATTACATGAGTTTTGATTGCATAATCATAATCAAACAAAATAACTCATAATAACAAAAAAAAAAAAGTAGCAAACCTGTTCAAAAATTTCCCCCTCTGTTTTTCTTAAAGAAGTTGAACAAGAAACAACAAGATGGGAACACAAAATTGTATTTAAATACTAAACACGCAAAAGTAATAGAAGGAGAAATAACTTTTGCATAACTACTTACAGTGAGAAGCAATATAAAGGGTAAGAAATTTGCAGATTTCTGTGCTATAAAACCTGCTCTTGAAAATTTCTTATTCCTACAAGTTCAAGAGGACGGTAATGGAGTAAAATTGTAGAAGCTGAAGCAGAATGGAATAACCAATACACATGGATTTTAAAAATACCAACCGACTATAAAAATATCAATTCTTTCTTCAACCGACTATACAAAAAGAGTATGGGAAATTGAAGTTCTCCAAAGTCAATAAATCATGCTAGAAGGCTAATTGGAATTTTTGGCAGCATATGCTACAGTGATCTGTTAGGAAAAATCACGAATGAACAGTGAACCTCAAACTACTCCGCACAGATGCGGAGTATCTACCCCGCATTTGTGCGGAGTCGCTCCGCACAACACGATAGTTTCTCCATCAACTTCTAAACTCTTAATTTTGCTTAGCCTAGTATTTATATTGTAATTACATGAGTTTTGATTGCATAATCATAATCAAACAAAATAACCCATAATAACAAAAAAAAATAAAAGTAGCAAACATGTTCAAAAATTTCCCCCTCTGTTTTTCTTAAAGAAGTTGAACAAGAAACAACAGGATGGGAACACAAAATTTTATTTAAATACTAAACATGCAAAAGTAATAGAAGAAGAAATAACTTTTGCATAACTACTTACAGTGAGAAGCAATATAAAGGGTAAGAAATTTGCAGGTTTCTGTGCTATAAAACCTGCTCTTGAAAATTTCTTATTCCTACAAGCTCAAGAGGACGGTAATGGAGTAAAATTGTAGAAGTTGGAGAGCACGATAGCAGAATGGAATAACCAATACACATGGATTTTAAAAATACCAACCGACTATAAAAATATCAATTCTTTCTTCAACCGACTATAAAAAACGAGTATAGGAAATTGAAGTTCTCCAAAGTCAATAAATTATGATGGAAGGCTAATTGGAATTTTTGGCAGCACATGCAACAGTGATCTGTGAGGGAAAATCACGAATGAACAGTGAACTTCAAACCCTCTCTTTTAAGAGAATAGGGATATAAAGACGATCCAGTTTTTAGATTTTGAAAATTATTTATATTTAAATAAATAACCAAAAAACCCAAATACATGTTTAATCAAAATAATGAGTAATATTAATACGGTGATTTCTGAATTGATACAACACTTGTTTGACTTTACAGTAATCCTATTTTGGTTATCTTGGCATTATTTCTTTCTAGCTACATCCATTTGTCATAAAGACCAATATATTCAAGCTTCAGGAGTTCAAATATCAAGAGTTCGAATCCCTTGCCAATACTTTCTCGATCGAGCCGTCGCACCGGGTTTGTCTAGTGCGATTTACCTCTCCTGTGTGGTTTGCGGGCTACTGCACATGGAGCGGAATTTACCTAGTGTACACTCAGAGTGGTCGAGCCTCCATCCCTTCGATACGGTCTGGACTCCGCGGCGGGTAGC